GTAGTTATTTGTCTGGGATAGGGTAGTAGTTTTGTCTAGGATAGGGTATAGTCTCATTGTCTGGGGTAGGGTGGAGTTTTGCCTGTGATCGTATCTGCTAGGCCACGCTTTCAGCGCTAAAATAATGTACCTTTGTACATTAGAAAAATTATAGAAAAGAAATCACACAATGGTTTGTTGCAGAGTTAAGCAGTGCACAACAGTTACACATGACTATCTGGTCACCACCCACCACGAGCTTGGACACATTCAATATTTCCTACAATACTGGAATCTACCSTATGAATACCGTGCAGGTGCTAACCCAGGATTCCATGAGGCTGTAGGTGATACCCTCTCACTTTCTGTCAATACACCACAACACCTAAAAACGATTGGGTTGTTGAAGAATATTAGCACAACTAAAGGTTTGTGTGATACTGACCACTTGACATTTTTTTATTAAATTTTCCCATTTTCCCATTCTTTTATCGTCGAAGGGCCATTTCGCAGTTTTGAATGGATTATGGTAATAAGGGCAAGCGTGCAACATAAAGTAGTTCTTGCTGGACGTTGCCTGCAGTAACATCTGAGGTCGGCAGAATTCCATGTTCAACATTYTTTCTAGGAAAAAGGAATGACCAACAATACCGATCATGTCATCTTCAGGACGGTTGGTCGAATGCAAAGCCTGTAAAATGTAACCTAAATTTGTATAATTTTCAGAGTCAGATATCAATGCCCTGATGAAGTCGGCCTTGAGTAAGGTTGCTTTCTTGCCGTTTGGGTACTTGATCGATCAATGGAGGTGGAATGTTTTCCGAGGCAAGATTACACCAGAAAATTACAATAGTGAATGGTGGAAATTGAGAACCAAATACCAGGGCATAAGACCACCAGTTGAACGAACCGAGAAGGATTTTGATCCTGGTGCCAAGTACCACATTCCAGGAAATACACCATATATCAGGTATGTACTGCATTGTATTTTAAAGCTTGACCAACTACATGGCTCAGCTTTTTTCTTTGCTCTTCTGTAGATACTTTGTGAGTACCATCGTTCAGTTCCAGTTCCATAAAGCGGCCTGTGACGCAGCTGGTTTCAAAGGGCCTCTCCATCAGTGCTCAATCTACAATTCAAAAGCTGCTGGCAAGAAATTAGGGTGAGTAGTGCACCATGATTCCAAGGGATAATTCTTTTGGACTCGATTTCGCATTTTCTGAATTCGTGAAACGATTCGTTTCAGGTGTCGATTGCCCGCTSTCATTTTCCTAGTCTTGCTTCGCGCTCGTTTTCACTTGATTAATGTTAGTCAGTGAACTCCTGAGRGAGCGCGACTTGAGACAAGGCTAGTACAACGGATGGATTATTAAAATATTACCCTTTATTTGRCAGTGACATGCTTGCCATGGGTAAAAGTAAGCCATGGCCTGACGCTCTGGAGAAGATGACAGGAACGAGAAAGATGGACGTTGGGCCTCTCAAAGAATACTTCCAGCCGTTGAAGACGTGGCTAGAAGAACAACGAAAGCAGCACAAATATCCCATTGGCTGGGACAGCAAACCATCATCCACTGGTTCTGGAGCTTTGGCTTCTGTTTTCTTGACACCTGTCGCACTCTTTGTTTCTCTCTTAATTTACTGAATGCTGTGTAAAGTTATAGTCAGCGGTCTAGTCGACTGCA